GGTGGCTCTTCCCCTCCTTAAGAAGACAATATTTCCTTGGCACTTTCCTTTATCAAATCATTACCGATCATCGTCCTTCTTATGCCTACAACCTTCTCCAATTTAAGTCCTCAATCCATTCACTCACTACAAGATCCCGACCCTCTGACCTATACATCCCTTCTCATAGATCTGCCTCATTCCAAAATTCCTTTATAGCCCGCTCTGTCAACTTTTGGAATTCCCTCCCGATCAAAATTCGACATGCCCCTTCCCTGTATACATTCAAAAACCTCCTATTCCAATTCCTGTTCCAAAAACAGTCTGATACCAGCTAACCATTAATATTATATATGTATTGTGTAGCAATCATATAATCATAACACTTGGTAAGAGATAGTACATGCATTTCCTACTATCGACGTAGGAATTTCAATACATACATTTTTTTTTATTTTTTTTTTTTATTCAATTATAAGTAACTGTTTATTTTTATATATATATTCAAGTAGTTTTTTTTTTATGAAATGAACTCATTGTATCTCTTTTTCGTTCTTCATTTCTCAAAGTGTATGTTTATGTTGTTCAACCCTTAAATATAATTTTGTTCATAGTTCAAGTGATTCGTTCATAGTTTTAATTGTTTTGTTTATAATTTTAAATGCTCTGTACATAGTTTTATCTGTATTGTATATAGCTTGTGCACCTAAGGTTTTCTTTACTTTTTATTTTATTTTATCAATTTTATTTATTGTTTCAACATTCAGGCCAGTAATATTCTATTATTTTGTACATTATTGTTATTCTGAAGGGACTTAGTCCCAGAATAAAGTTTTTTTTTCTATCTATCTATCTATGTTACTTGGTTTTGGTGTTTTTCATCAGCTGTCGGTAATAAAAGAAATACAAATATGCTGGGCTTAGTGCAACTGTCACTATTAGTAGTATTGCTCAAAATTGGTCTTTATCTTGCACTTTGCAAGACCAAGACTGGATCCTGCACGATTTGAGCGAGAACAAGACACCTACGGGACTCTTGCGTTTTGCATTTAAGTCAACCTGAGGCTAGTTTGAAATACAGTACGGTGCATTGCCAAAGCATTATTAGTAATTAGAAAACATGGAAATATTTGACGATGAGTCAGTCAGGTGGGTATTCAGTATTACTTCTTAGTAACAAGAATTAATATAAAGTAACCAAACGTCAAAGCTATTGCACTGTAATTTAATTTGTGTTTATTTTTACTTTCACTCACCTATATATGTAAAAATGAAAATATTACGACCGGTTCAATTTCCAATAGATCTTTAAGTCCCAGAGTCCGGAAAACACATTTCAGTTATCGCTCTGTCTTTCTGTCTAAGTCAAGATTATCTTGAAAACAAGTGGACCAATTTTATACAATGATTTTAAATATTGTTTACTTTCTCGTTTATTTTGCTTTAGTTCATCAAAGAGATCGTACTATAACGATTTCTCTGATCGGTTATCAGGAAAATTAGGCTAATTTAATTGTATTTTTTCAATGAACATATTTAAAATAAAATAAAAGATGTTTAAAAACTATTTGGACTTACGGGCTAGAACTGTTGTAAACACCAAATTTTTCTAACATTAAACGCATCCAATCCTTCCAGTTAAAAGTCCTTCGAACTTTTCAATATTGGCTTCCTCTAAAGTACCTTTATTTTTTCTTATTTGAATTAGTTTTTGAACATTTCACATTATTCTTTGATAAAAAAATATGTAAATATAAGATATGAAAGACTTTGATAATTAACTAAAGAAGAAATAAGAGATCGTAACGGATAATGGTTTTAATTGAGGAATCAAAGGAATAAGAGCTTGCCGCATGTCACAAGATTTCGCCTGAAAGATTACAACAGGCTTCCATACGTTACATGATCTTCATATAATACGGGCTCCGACAATAGTATGTTCATATACATGTGTGGTTTTCATAAATGTTATCGTTAGTATTATTTTTTTTTTTATTATTTTAATGGAATTTACAACTGTATTACATAGAGAATACAATAAGTAAATGAGAAATTTGTAACATGGCATGTACAACATGAAGAGAAACTACCCATTGGTAGAACTCAAATTAAAGTTCTATATTAGAAGATCCCGAGGCCATCTTCTTTTCAGACGCCTCGGAGGGTTATCAGGGATCGAGGAGGAAGCAAGGTTTGAAACGAGAGGATTCGGATGGTTCTGCAGTTTGTTATGGAAGGAAAGGTATCTGGAGTGGGCCAGATCGGAAACATATGGAACATTAAGGTCTTTATGGATGATTTTATTTGTGACAAAGTAAGGAGCGTTGAGGATTTTACGAAGGATTTTGGAGTATTATTTAATATATAATTGTATAGAATGCAGCGGTATAAAAATTTAAATTTGTATACATTATAAAAATACCCACAATGAATTCTAAATAAATATAGCGTCAATAATTTTTACTTTCACTTTCCCTTTGTCTGAAAATACTTATCTATGGTAACCCTAGAGATCTTTTATAGTATATACCTTGGAGTTCCAGCAATGGCCAGATTCTCCACTCAAGACATGAGTGTATGTGGCTAAAGCTCTCTCGCTCGAACTCCACTGGTTTTAACACCAGTGATGCGGTTGAGAGAGTAGCGCAGGGATTTGGGTTCCCTGCCTGATTGTATATATTGTATATAGGTACGACTGTGTTTTTATGTTTTTAATTTCCTTATACTTAGGGTTATTTTATTTTTTTTTTGTACATAGTTTTTATTTATTATTATTTTACTTTTGTTAATTTTATTTTTTTTTGTATATATGGTGTGAATGTGTTCATTTATCACTATAATTATTGTCCTCGAGACAGAATGTTATACGTCTAAATAAATAAATAAAAATAATTTTAATTTATGCTAAGAGGATGATAGTAAGTGAAAGTCGTGTGATGCGCGTACTAGATTATATTATTTGAAGAAGTCTTATAAATATGCAATGTAAAATTTGACTAATTGCAACTGGGAACAATGATTTTTATAGGTATTTGATCGCCAGTTTAAAAACTGCATGCAAACAAAGTACGCAGTTGCGTATAATTCCGGGCCATGGTTATGATTATGGAAACAATAATACTTTATTCCACCGCCAGTCAACGCAAAAACAACCTCCTTTTTTTAAAGGATGAAATTACAGATATAAGGCTTTTACGTCTATCGAGATAAGCCCCATTGAGATATTCCGCATGAGTTGGGCCTTATGATAAAAAAGAGAAGTGGAAAAAAAAATGGAGCATTATTGAAATCCAGAGGGTTGAGTGTTCTCTAAGGGTGTAGGTGATTTAGCCCTTTTCCAGAAGCGGTTCCTTTGACTTTCAAATTGCGGTCAGCGGTGGACGGCCTGGCCGGAGCAGGTTATTCACGCCCCTCAGCCACCTACCCTTAATTCGATTACTGCTTTTCCTCCTGTCAACTCTCTTAGCTCCGTCTCATCGGAATAAAACTCGTTTGTTCAATTGGAAAAATCCTAAGTGAATCGATGAATTGCCAAGAGGAAAGGTGGAATATCGTCTAACCATGAACCGTTAATGAATATTTTATATATATATATATTTGTAACGGTATAAAGCCGTTTAATCAAGTATATTCTTGAGCTGATAAACTTCTCCAGCCGACCACTGTCATCAGTACCGAGTGTCAATAAACTAGAATGGTCGAAAGACTAGTGTGCCAAGATATCCCTTAAGAAGGCTACCAACATATTCTCATGTCGAAGGGGTTTTCCTCAATAAAATGTTTTAATTTAATTGTTTTATTAGAAAGTACAAGAAGTTACATAAATTATAAAATTTCAGTGCTGATAAAAATAATAAAAAAATATATTAATATAAATTGGTTTTTGAAAATAAAGTATTGCGTAGAATATTCGGACCGAAGAAGGATGAGTTAACCGGAGAGTTCAGACGGTTACACAACGCCGAATTGCGTGAGCTGTATCCGGGTAATATAATTGAGGTAATTTCATCGCGGCGAATCAAATGGGCTTGTAAAGTTGTTGGGCTTAGTAACGAGAGAATTCCTAAAAGGTTAATATTTGCTGTGCCGAATGGTAAGCGTCCGAGGGGTAGACCGAAGCGAAGGTGGGAAGATTGCATTAAAGCCGATCTGAAGGGACTGGGTTTGGACGGCAAACGGTGGAGGGAGATGTGTAACAAGCGATTGGTGGTGTCGGCATCGAACCTTCGGGTTCGCTAAGCCTTATTATTTATTAATATAAATTGAATTTGTACATTATTGATATCAAATAACAATGATTTATTATTTAATAAATAAAACACGTGGTCATGAATTAAAAAAAAAAATATGTTTAGTGACATAGGCATACTAAGCTTTTTATAAACTCAAATTATATAAATAGATTTTTTCCCGAAACAAAGTTATCCCGTCAAGTTCGGTAATAGTGCTACAGAACCTGTGATTGGGGTACATTGCATGAAAGTCCAGATTGAGGATAAACGAGTTCTCTGGTATGTTTTAATTGATAATCTCAGTGCTTTGCCAAATGATGAAGTAATTAGGACTTGGCATAAATTAGGCGATTAGAGAGGAGCAGGGAAAGGGGGTGCCATTTCTGAGGGAAATTATTGAAATCGAGAGATTTAACTTTAAGACATTTAGTTTATTAGGTATTAGATGCTCTTTGCTTGGGCAAAGGGAAAACTCATCAGGAAACAAGATCCCTTTTCAAGTAAAATGAGATTTCTATTTTTGGAACAGATGCATACTCAACTTAGTAGTTGTTGTGGATTAGGAGCAGTTTGCAAATGTACTTATCTTAAGATGACAGCACTACAAAAAATAAAATTAGATAAATATATACGTATGACTGAGACAAATCTAATTTAGCTATTATTATACATAAAGTTTAAATCCTATGAATCCATTTTAATTGGATTGTCTAAAAATCCTTTGTGAAGAAGTTACGAATCTTATACCGATAGATAATTAAACAGATACAAATTTGTAAAATTACTAACCTGTGTACTTAGCAACACCTTTGAAAGATACCGTTTCCAGGATCAGAGGCTCCGATCTTCCCTTGCTGTTGACGGAGTAAAGGAGAACTTGGTAGGAAGTGCCGGTTTCTACTCCGGTCAAGCTGAAGGATGGTTTGGTAGAGGTGACGTTAAACCTTGGAGTGAGGGCGGGTAGCTGAAGGAGCTCCATGGTGAACCATTGGGGAAGACCGCCGTCGAAACCCTCGACGCACTCCACCTGAAGAGACTCCAGAGTTTGGTTCGTGATGGAGCAGTTGATCAATGGGAATGGTCGTCCTGAAACGGGAACAGCTGCTTGTTTTATTTGGAAAATGGTACAAGAACAGTTAAAAAGAATTTCATAATTGTCAAATGATAATATATTTTAAATTAAAGATTCCACTACATGATGCTTAATGAGAGTGGTAAGAGACCGGATGGGGCTAATAATTATAAGTTTTGTTACTTCATAAAGTACAAGTAAGCAAGAGGCGCTGGGATCTCATATAGTCCTGTCTTTCCTTCCATGAGTTGGGGAGGAAAGACTGGGCTCGGAGTTCTCTGAATGAAGGATTTTGTAAATGAATAAAAGTATGCCTGTATTTAAGTTGATATCTTGATCACTTTAGTTTCTTTTTGTTTATATACATTTACTATTGGTATTATTATTTTTATGTTTAATTTATTTGTATTTATTGTACATCGTGTGTGAATGAGCTATGCTTTTACCATTAATAATGCCCTTAATTGTGGCAAAATCTAACTATATGTAAAATTTACTCAATAAAAAAATGTGAGCTGAAAAAAAACAACAGTGCAACAGTGCTTCCTCATAAATTAACGAGACTTGGATTGCTGTATTTTTTTTTCTCTAAATGATGATTTATAGCGACCTCAGTAAATTTTTCGTATGGTTGGATGGTAGCTATAATAATTTAAAGATGATTAATATGGAAATATGCTATCAAAATCGCGTCTTCTTAATTCCTTCACTGGTTTTTCCACAATGAAACTTCAATTTTATTCATATAATACGTTAAAAAACTCAGGATGACCTTCGGCTGTAATATATTCAATATATATTGAACTCGATATGAGTTTAAATCGATTGATGATTTATTAGCAAAAGATGATTTTTTTTTACATCTATATAATCCCCTATTTGTCCTAGAGCTTATACCAGAAAAAGTTTCCAAATTTCATCAGAATTTTACATATCCCCTAGCATAGTCAAATATCTAGCTCAATCAATCCTTACAATCCTCCTCGAAGGCTGAAGAGGCAGTAGCCCAGAGACCTATTGTAAATAAGCATATATCGGAGTTCTGGAAATGGGCAGATCCTCCACTCAAGCCATGTAAGTATTTGGTTATAGCGCCTCTGCTCAGTCATCGACGGTTAATACTACATCTCCGTTTTATCCAATCTATGCAAGCCATTGGAAAGAATAGCAACTGAGTGAGAGGCGCTGGGATCTCCTAGATTATTACCTTCCACATGTGGGAGGAAAGGCTTGGTTCGGAGTTCACCTGAATGAATTCTGTAAACATTGTATAAAAGTATGCTTTTTTAAAAGTTGTCATGTTGATTAGTTTAATTATTTTGTTTATATACCTTTACTTTTATTATTATTTTTTTAAATTTAATTATCATTATAAATTGATTTTTCTGTTTATTTATTGAAAATAAAGTATGAATGTTTTCTCTGAACAGTATTATAAATGTCTTTAATAGAGAAATACTGCAATATATCTCAATAAATAAGTTTAAAATAATTTAAGATCAATTCAATCAATACGAAAAATGTCCCTTTTTACCACATTGAATGAATGTAATCTATGCTTTTTCAATTCTTGATAAAATGACTTAGTATTAATGAAATATATTTAGAATTTTCTATTAGACTACTTTTAACTTTTTTTTTAATTAGAGTATATTCTTTTTATATTTTGAAGTTTTGTACATTTTAAGACAACACATATGTATCATAATAACTTACTTCAATGTATACACTTCGTGCATTTCGAAATGAGGTTTTCATATTTCAATGCTGTTCGATTTTTAAATGATCGCTGTAGAATCGATTAATCAATAGAACTTGGTCAATCGGTCATTCCTACTTAAACCGTATTAAAATAAAAAAAATATAACTAAATTTATTCATAAAAAAAATCTTAAGATAGTGAACTTTGCAACTATGATAGATAAAGTAGTAACGAAAACTAATTTAAAAATCACTTATTTGATCAGAAATAATGATGATCTCATTAATAAATATTTCTAAATAAAATTACTTTCTTTTTATTGAAATATGAACATTCAATATAGATATCTGATGTGGCAACTGCAGTAGGAAAAAATATATAATTCAATTTTTAAGAGACACTTTTTTAATTTTTAAGATTCAATCTAACAATCCCTTTTTGTTTTTTATTTAATACAGGCTGGCGTCTTGAGGCAACTAAAGGAATCAGTAGAAGAATGCTTAGAATTTTTTTACAGTGCAGAACTTTTCAATTGATTTTGCCTCCTCCCCCCCCCCTTTCCACCATCCCTAAGGCAGGAACATACAGCCTGATGCCCAATACAGAATCTAATAAAAACCATCAAAAGGAACTTCACGCTGCTTGCCTCTTTAATCTTAGCTTTCCCCCCTCCCTTGACCTCTTATAAGGCCTAAGTTAATATGGCACTGAAATATTTGGAAAACACATCAAGCAATTTCAATCTCGTTATTTAAGTTCTCACCAAAATTAGTAAGGTTATTTTGACGAAACCTACTAAATTAAATTAAATTCGATCAGTATTAAACATTTATTTAAACAATATTATAAATATGTACAGAGTGTTTCAGGGTCAAATGTCCAAACTGAAAATATGAACTAAGGACCTCAAAACAAGAAAAAAATTTCCTCTGAAGGTATGTCCGCAAACGCTTTGTTTATGAAATATTCACACCTAAAGATTTTCGTTGTTATTCATTAAATTACATTATATGAAATAAATAAAACCTATTTATTTGTTCTAACTACTTTATTAATTCTCCACCGGCTTTAGCACCAGTGAGGCGGTTGAGAGAGTAGCGCAGGGATTTGGGTTCCTCGCCTGATTGTATATATTGTATATAGGTATGACTGTATTTTTATGTTTTTAATTTACTTATATTTAGGTTATTTTATTTTTTATTGTATATAGTTTTTATTTATTATTATTTAGTTATTATTTTACTCTTGCTAATTTTTTTTTTTTTTTTTGTATATACGGTGTGAATGTGTTCATTTATCAATATAATTATTGTCCCCGTGACAGAATATTATATGTCTAAATAAATAAATAAAAAATAAAAAAAACTTTATTAATTAAATGTAAACATTAATATGCATATTTGCTCGGCATCTTTCTTCAACATCAGCAGTGGCAGAACGGCACTGGATATGAGTTATTGTTTCACAACATTCAATTATCCTTCTTCGTAAAGAATTAAGGTCATTGACCGGACTTGTATAGGCTTATTGTTTAATTTGTTAAAAGTAGTTAGAACAAATAAATAGATTTTATTTATTTCATATAACGTAAATAATTCATAACAACGAAAATGTTTAGGTGTGAATATCTCCTAAACAAAGTTTTTGCGGGCATACCTTCAGAGGGAATTTTTTCCTTGTTTTGAGGTCCTTAGTTCATATTTTCAGTTTAGCCACTTAACCCTGAAACACCCAGGTCTATTACCTATATGTTTTATTTATTTTATTTTTCGGAACTGTATACCATATAGATCTTTGTACATGCGATATTTTCTTCGACAGCGTCTCGTTGCTACGAACCATGACTTTCATGGAGCAGGCTTTCCATTCTGTAACCGATCCACACGGAACCAATTTGGCAGTGTCGTTTCCACAAACTTAATTTGGTTCAAGAGTCGTAACAAATCGGTCTAGATCCACAGATTATGGCAGTTCTGAAACACCAGGTTTAAGATGACATATATTTCTTGGAAAACCACATAACGCTTCCTGATGAAGGTCATCAAGTAGGGTTATCATTCCCAACGAGTATCACTGTTGGCGGATCTAACATACACGAGAGATCGGAGGAGCTCCAAGTTGCTTAACTTTGAATTCCAGTTGAATATGCCTTTGGCCACTCGGCCACTCAAACTCCATATGATTTCTATTTCGTGTTCCGCTAAATAACAAGGTATGGAGTTTTCTGTAATTTGTATTGTATATGGAATTACTGATGTACTAGAGTAGTTTTAGTTTTTTTTTTTTTTTAAATAATTTTTAGTTTGTTAATATGGGTTAATTAAATTTAACCAACAGGCAAGTAACTTTTGGACATCTGATTATTTTGGTAATAACGCATTACCTATATTTTTCTATGGTAATAATTTTGCGTTTAAAGTATATAATACATTCAGATTGTAGTTTGAAGTTTTAATTGTGATTTTGTTTTGCTAGTAAAATTTTGACAAACCATAAGTATTTTTAAACGCTTATAGCGTTCATTTCTAATTTTGTTAGTATTGAATGTTGTAATTGAAGACAGATATCTAACTCTTCTATATTATCATAATTACCTCTGTGAATAAGATTAGAAACTTTTTTAAATGTTTATTTAAACTAAAATAATAAAAATAAATAAATGGATAATAGGTATGTTATTAGAGGTAGGATACTATGATCCAACAATGGTGCCATCGCCTATGATTACATAATGTTGGATTATTTAAAGTCCCCGTTGATGAAGTTCTTGATATTACAAAACTTTGAATTTATCGAACTTTGTGATTGGATGAAATGTCGACCTTCGTAGAAATTGTGCTTCGATTGCTTGACAAAGCACCTCTGATGTATTTTTAAAAAACTAAATACTAAAATTATGTAATATATGTAAAAAAAAACAAAGTGTTTCTCTTTTTTAGCCCGTAATAATACTTAGTAAATAAAAACAATTAATATTTATGTTTTATTAATGAAATATTTCATCAATATAACATGACAAGTGTAAGGTATGGGCTTAGATGAACGATTGAAAAGTCTTTTTTTATTTTATTTTAATAAAATATACAACTGTATTAAATGAAAAACAAAACAAAAAAAAACAACAAGTAAATGTGAAATATGTAACATGACATGTACAACATGTAGAGGAACTGCCCATTTGTATAACTCAAATTAAAGTTCTATATTAGAAGGTCCCGAGGCCATCTTCTTTTCAAAACGCCTCGAAGGGTCGGGATCAGGAATGAAGGAAGGTCAGAAACTAATATGAAGCAAGGTCAGAAACTAGAGGGT